CAAGATAAATTACTAAGTGATCCACCAACTGTATCGTCATTCTAGTATCTTTCAATATCTCAACAGAGAGTAAATTATAAAAGGATAAAGACATCACATTTATGGATTCTCCCAAATCATACATTGCATGTTTTATGCCAAACCAATTTTACATGGGATAACGAACATACCTTGGTCCTTCAACTTCGGTGGAAGCCTTCGCTGAAAAATTATGGAAACATCCTAAATTGATTTTTTATGTCTGACAAGCCTTCTTTTTTTCATGCAGAGTTCTTTAAGAAATCGGGCATACTTCGAAACCTTCCGGATTACTTCAAGAAGTGGTATGTTGATTTCTACCTTCCAGAAAACACCCAAGATCTCTTTCTCCTAGGCTTGTTTGTCTTTTTTTATAAATCTTGAGGGAAAATGAGGTGGAACATCATAGGGAGATGGTGTTGGATCAAATTGTAAATCTTTTTTCTTCTTTCTCTAGGATTCTGCGCCATTTTTATTTCTTTTCTAGGAGTTTGAGTCAACTGTTGTTTCTTCCATCTGGGATATCGATACTTCATCTTTCTTTATGGATTCTGCGCTAAACTCCTCTAGGAGTGGCTGTGCAACAACTATTCTGATTTAGAGGGTGATAGAGCTTACATTTTCCCGAGGGTTCATCTCAGTTTGAGAGGAAATTTTACCTTGTGATTTCAAGTGCCCCATAGACAGAGTCAACTAACTAATATGCTTGTTTATTTATTGTAAGTGTGAATCAATGCAATTATGGAACTTCCCTTGAGATAGAGCAAATTTCTCAACGATTGACTCGAGTAATGATCTATGCGATTGATAAAGTTGTTGTGGAGGTGGTATTGATTGATAGCCTTTATTAGGCCTTGGGTTCTATGCATAACTAAAGTTTAGGTGATCTCTCCATCCAGATTATATGTGTTTATGTGAGGGTTGTAAGTCCTTTGGGGAGGTCCCGGAAAATTCCCCACAACATTAACTCGTGTGCCCATTTTTTTCCTGTAGCATTGGGCAGCAGTCTGTCAGATGATCCGACATCGTGCATATCCCGCATACTCTTGCTGGTCTAATTTTACCTATGAAAAGGGCGTTAACCACGTCAGTTAACTTGTCGATCTTATTTTCAAGGGAAACGATACTTACCTCGTGAACTCATCGAATGGGTTCACTTGTAGAGCCAAACTATTGAGACTTGGCTGCCATTGTCGAAATTAATTTCCTTGATGTGTTTGGGGTCATATTGACGATAGCTCTTTAACTAGCAATATCGATCTCAGTAGTTGTAAAATGACTCTCCATCTTTTTGTTTAATTTCCAAGATGTTTTTTCTCAATTCGCTTGCCTTTGTTGTTGGGAAAAATTGGTCAAAAATACGATTTAAATAAGCATATGTATTAATTGAATTATGAGGCAAATAAAATAACCATTTTTTTGCTAAGCCCGATAAAGAAAATGAAAGACCTCGTAATTTAATTTGGTCTTTGGATACTCCATGTGGTTTCATGCTGGAACATAACATAGGAACTATGTAAGATGTTTATGCAGATTCTCACTGGAGTGGAAGATAGGAAGAAGACGAATCAACCTCGTTTTTAATTGAAACTGAGTTTTGGCTTGAGGAAAAATGATGTAGAAAGGTTGTTGAACCGCAGGGGTCGCGACTAACTCGCGAATGGTGTGATCGCCCATCAGTTTCGGTTATTTGCGATCGACATTAGGTGTGACGGTAGATGTGGAAGCTGATTTAGCGATTGATGGTTCTTACGTGGAATTCATTATTTATAGAGTGTTGCGTCAATTGATTCTTTGAGATCTTATTCTTGTCATTATCTTATTTTCTCTCGAAACGTTTGTCTGTGGATTCGTCTAGCTCGTGCTTTGATTTCTAGATCGTGCTTTGATTTCTAGATCAAATTCTTCTAATGCACCTAAATTTTGCCTGGTCATAAATCAAAAAAAACATAAATTAGTAACTTTTGCCAAAGTCCCCGACAACAGTACCAATTTGACACGCGTCATTTCTATGTCAAATAATTTATCCTTAATCTCAATAAAAGAAAATAAAAAAAGGGATAGGGATAGTAAGGGTCAATCCGCAAAGACCAAGGAAGTTGTCAAAATTTTGGTTCTTGATTTCTGATCTAGGCAAAAATTGCAAAAAAAATAAAGAAGGGGGAGATTTATTGATAGTTTATAAATAATGCAATTTTATTCTAAAGATAATAAAGAAAACAATTTTAAAGAAACTAAAGATTAAAATTCTATGAAATAAAATCAGCCTTAGGCTTTAGCTTTGCCTAAATTTCGTTGATCATTGAATAGGATCTTAACTTCGGATTCATGTCGGTTACAGTCTATAGGACCCAACCCCTGTAACTTGTTTTTCTCTCAAGTAAATTGATCATCCAAAATCAATCTTTGGATCCCGATCCTTATGTTGACTAACTGCGACAATAGTTTTTTAATACAAATTTCGTTTTAGTTTTAGAAAAACTTGACTCAGATTATATCGTCTCGATGAAAATTGAACCTAATTTCAGTTTCCCTTAGCGGACTGCTGCTAAGTGTGTTTACCGGAAATCGAATATGCTACAAGTCGATCTTATCTCCCAACTATTAATCGAAATTGCAATCAATACAACGTGTATTTTTTGAAAAGAAAATGTTTTCAATTATAAAAGGATGGTTGATTGTCAATCCTTGATTCCAGAAAACTGAAAATGTAATTAGAAGGGTATGAGGTGTTTTTCTATTCTCACGATCAGAATTGAGTCATCGCTTCAGCCTTTGGCTTATGAAAATCTTAGCTAAGCATAATAGAAGCCATACTTAGCATTCAAAAGTAAAGAAAACTTTTAAGGAAAAGTAAAGAAAAGAGAAAGTAAAAAAGAAAATAAATTTTATAAAACTAAAAGAAGAAACAAAAGAATTCAAGATATGAGAGATGATGCTTTTGAGCTTGCCTTGATGGGGTATTTATACTCTCCTAAAATCTTAAAAATGTAGTAGAAATGATAACATATAATTCTTGGAATTTGTTTGAATTAAATCCTAAAAACAAAGATAAATCCTAATTTAAACTTTGAATACCGGAAATCGAATATGCTACAAGTCGATCTTATCTCCCAACTATTAATCGAAATTGCAATCAATACAACGTGTATTTTTTGAAAAGAAAATGTTTTCAATTATAAAAGGATGGTTGATTGTCAATCCTTGATTCCAGAAAACTGAAAATGTAATTAGAAGGGTATGAGGTGTTTTTCTATTCTCACGATCAGAATTGAGTCATCGCTTCAGCCTTTGGCTTATGAAAATCTTAGCTAAGCATAATAGAAGCCATACTTAGCATTCAAAAGTAAAGAAAACTTTTAAGGAAAAGTAAAGAAAAGAGAAAGTAAAAAAGAAAATAAATTTTATAAAACTAAAAGAAGAAACAAAAGAATTCAAGATATGAGAGATGATGCTTTTGAGCTTGCCTTGATGGGGTATTTATACTCTCCTAAAATCTTAAAAATGTAGTAGAAATGATAACATATAATTCTTAGAATTTGTTTGAATTAAATCCTAAAAACAAAGACAAATCCTAATTTAAACTTTGAATTTACGACTGAGTCTCCCGTCTTTACGAAAATGTTGATTGGACCTTTTAGAAGATGCTGATTAGACACCACGTAAGTCGCAATCATGCCCAAAGTCATGCCCACTAAGTCGACCTTGATTCCAGAAAATTAAAAATTACAAAATTTCATCTCTTTTAACACCGTTTCTAAAATTTATTGTCCTACATAGAAAATGAACGAAAATGCCCACATCAACAACTAAAATCGACTAATCAAGGAGTAATTATCAATAAAATATTAACTAATTTAATCACTAATCAGTAGACAATATGGTGTATATATTTTGTATCTTAGTGTATAAATATTTAAATTCATAATATTTTATACATATTAACTTAAAAAAAAATTCTTATAGTAAGTTATTAAATATATTTTATTATTAACTTAATTTAAAAATATCTTATTTTTATTTTCATTTAAAAATATATATTTTATTTTAAAATTTATTTAAAAGCATGACAAAATTGAGAGAATATGTAAATAACAATGACCAAATGTGTAATTATACCAACTATCACGTCCCATATTCTGTTAATTGTTAACGACATTTAACTTGTGATGACATCATCTTAATTAAATTAAAACGAAAGTGATCATATCTTATATTTTTTGAAATCAATAACCGAAAGTGGACAAAACACAAATATAGGTGATCATTCGTGTAGTTAACCCTAAAAATCATTCATACTCGTTTATTAAGTTTACTAAATGAATATCATATGAATAAATCAATAATTCACAAACAGTTTATCGAATACTCTATTCAATTAAACCATAATTAAAAGAAACTTAAAATAACTTTTGGTTACTAATGTTATTAAATTATACCTACAAAAATTTAATTTGCTAAATGCATAAATATTTTCTCTGATAAACAAGGTATGAATGATTGTATGTTTATCCGTTAAAATAATATTTTTATTTCATATAACTTAATACATATAAATGAAATTAACAAAAATTATCATAATTCTATCACATGTCTAGATGTGTTTCGTAAGATTTGTCAAAGATAGAATCAAGATGAAATTATATGGGATGAGTTGTTTAATTAAATCAAAATTTCAAAAAATAATTAAATTATAAAGATGAAATCAAAATTTAATTAGATTTCACTCATTAATAGGCACTAAAACAAATAAAATAGGAGTCATAGGTGACCTGATCATTGATGGGAAAAGGAAAAAGAAGTTGATTTTTATTAATTAATGGAAAATTCATTGATAAACACTTACTGAACTGAGAATAATCAGGAAAACCTTCCTAGTCTGCAAGCTACCAACATCCTTATCAATTAAACCCAAAACTAATCTTCAAAATTTATTATAATAAAAACCAGAATCATTTCACTCCCAAAGTTATTTAATCGCCTCAAAATGACACTGCCTTCTTCTTCTCATCATCATCGGCTGATGGAGACGATGATGAAGGAAGGATCATAGATTCTCGTTGAGCATTGATCAAACGTCTAATCTTTTTCCTGCTGACCCCAAATGCATTGGCAAGTTCAAGGCTGTTCAAAGTGTGAAGAAGGGAATTTTTCCCCACAAGGAACTGAGGCCTGTTCTTCTGCGATGATGAACTTGTGAATCCCAAAAACTCGAAAGCTTCCGATTTCGATGCGGTTTGACAGCAAGCGAAGTATCTTGGTACCCAAAACACGTCGCCTTCTTTCACCATGACATCCATGGCTAAAGTTCCATTTGGATACACTATCTGGATTCTACCACTTCCCTTCAAAACAATGCTGTACTCCGTCGCACTCGGATTCATATGCGGCGCCAACATCGATCCCTGAAATTTAAGAATGTCGTTCATGAGTTATCATCAACGAATTTCACTTCCATCGGTGTTCCAGAAAGAACTTTTGAGATCGATTACCGGGGTAAGATTGACATGGAAAACGCCAATTCCGGTGTGCTTGAGAGGCCTATATTCGGATTCATCAAGTTCAACTCTCCATCCATAGTCGTTCCTGAAATCAGGGGTTTTGTTGTATATATTGTAAGATATTGGAGCTTTATGATTCTCATTACTGTCTTGAGTTCCGAAAACATCGGTAACCAGGTTCCACCATGACCATTCTTTCTCTTCCTCGGCTTGTCCTTGGACAATTCTCTTCACTTGTTTTAGTCTTTCTTGTTTCTCAAGTAATGAGAATTTTTTCCAGGTGTTTGGTCCACGAGAGTTTGTCAAATACACTATTGGTCCCTCCTGTTGTTTGCTAAAAATCCGACTCACTTTCGACTCCGAGACCTGTAAAACCATGGCCAATATTGTGTTAAAGATCAATGCACCACCACAATGGTAGCTATAGCCTATAGCAATAATGTATGTTGCTTACGTTGAAAGCTGCCGAGAGAGTTTCAGGGCCAAAACCAGCAAGAACCGATGACGGATAAGTTCCGCCGCCGATAAAGAAAGACTGAAATACATACCAATGTTTAGATATATATGAATAACTGAAACACGCACCCGGGTTTCGAGAAAATCAGAGAGTATCATACCTGGAAAGCACCGAAATTGAGACTCTGGGAGGGATCAATGCTGCAAATAATATGGAGCCTTTGGTCCTCCCCTGTGTTCAAAATGTAGAACGTTGAACCTGCTGGGATAGGATATACATCTCCAACCTTAAGTTGACTCTCCACCATGTGATCTTTGTAGATCAACCCTACCGTTGCTTCACCTGCAACGGTTCCAAAGTAAATATAAAGGAACAGAAGCAAAATTTTATGATAAAAATATAGGAGACAAAAACTGGCATACCGGTACGAAGGAAAAGGATCAAACTGGAATCAAGATACATAGGGAGGAGAAGGGTGTTGGGGTCCATTTGAATGAACCCAATGTGCATTGGTTTCTCAACAATCATTCTTCCTTCATGGTCATGGCTTCTCACAACCCTCATTTCTCCGGCATCGGATTTCATCACAGGCTCTGAGTTTAGCAACAAGAACATTTCATCTTGTCTACCTCCTTCACCTATCTCGTCTTGCTCTACTTTGAACCCCGTCGCCGTTGCCATTGTTGCTGCTCCATAGCCAATAATAAGTGCCAGCAGCAAAAAGCTCTCTGTTTTTCCTATTTTCATCCTCTAACAGCTGCTTTGCTTTGAACCGAGTTAATCAAACTGGTTTATGTAGAGGGCGTGCAGAGAAATGCAGGGAGACGCGTGCAATTCATCCATGGTTTACCGGTTTAGCAGGCGAATTGTGGCTTAAAATTCTGTGAGAAATATCAGTTATTTGCAAGACAGGGTCTTCTGCTTAGATGTATATGTTTTAGGCTTAACGATCCAATTCCATTTTATTACTTTATCTTTTAACTTTGATTTAATTCATGTATATATAAAAAAAATTAAAATTTTTGAAATTACATTTATAATTAATACGTATGGCTTAATATAAAAATAAATGTCTAAATTATGATTCTAAAAATATTTTAGTACCTTAAAATTTTTCGCTAAAAGTAGGTGTCTAAAGTTTTCTCCGTTATATTTTTAGGTGCCCGACAATCTCACTGTTAAGTGAAACGTGTTGATAATTTTGGAAATTTTATTTAAAATAAAAAATCTAATATAAAAAAATCTAATTTTTTTCAAATCTTAAAAAAAGCTCAAAACTTTTAAAAACTTCATTTTAATCACTTTGCCACCGTCGGTCGCCACCAACACTGTCAATCGGCCGAACACCCAACAACTTGTGGTCGGCCAACCGCCCACGACCAAAACCCCCATGTTTTCGCAATTGATCGAACACCCAAAATGGTATGATTTGAAATTTTTTGTTTTAGGGTTCGAAATCATAAAAATTACTTAGATCGATCATGGTAATCGATCGTTTGATCGAATGTGGTGGTTGATAGTTTGTTGTTTGGTCCGTCGTGGCAGTTGACTGTGGTAGGGGAGAGGGAGAAGAAAAGGGGGAGGAGAGGGTGATAAACACACGGTCAAAACTTTGCTTTTTTTTTTAGTATAAAATATTTTTTTTTTTAAAAATTCAAAAAATATCAAAATATGACACGTATCACTTAATGAGATTTTTAAACAGCAGTTAATGTACGGTCATCTGATAACAGAGAAAACGTTAGACATATATTTTTAACGAAAAATTATTTAGGACTAAAACGATTTTATATGATTTTATATTAAGCTACATATAATATAAAAGGTGGAAAGTAAGGGTCTATAGCTCAGTGGCAGAGCATTAGACTTCAGATCAAGAGGTCACCGGTTCGAATCGGTTGGGCCCTATCTGAAATTGCTTTCATAGAGTTGTTCGTCCAGCTCAGTTGGTAGAGCACAAGGCTCTTAACCTTGGAGTCGTGGGATCGAGTCCCATGGTGGGCAATTCATAATTCGGAGGTCTTCCATGGAAGTTGTTCTCAACCTGACGTTGGGGGCAATCTACCATCCTACCTCCCCCTTACCTCATTACATATGGGAATAAGGGCCAACCATTTTTTTATAATATAAAAAGGTGTAACATAAAAAAAAAAAAGTGTAAAACGACATTACTAAGCGAAGCAAACCCAAAACTGAAGCAAGCTTTGCTGCGAGGAAAAAAATCATTTATTATAAAATAGGGTAAATTACACCATTTTTCATTTAACTTTACTCTATCTTCTATTTTACTCAATGCACTTTTAATCTTTATAATTTGCTCACTAAATTTTACAGATTGAATCATTTTGTTCACTTTACCGTTATCTCTCTAACGTTGTGATGATGTGTTATTTTTAATTATTATTTAATATAAAATAATTGAAAATATAAAGGATAAATTACATCATTCCTGGTTGAATTTTACTCACTCTCCTATTTTGATCACCCAACTGTAAAATAAAAACAGAAGACGGTCGGATGTCACTGTCGGTCACCATTGACCACCATAGATGGTGATTGTTCGGTCTCAAATTTCATAGGTCGTTCTACTTTGACACATTGAGTCCGAATCCGACCTCCATTTTGTCAGAACTTGCTTCGAACTCCACGAATTGGAGATTCAAAATGAGAAAGCCGAAATGTTTCAATCGATATTCACTAATTTTGAGACATTTTCTAGTTAAACAACCACCAAATTCAGACTTAGGGGTCGAGACGAACCGACCCATGAATGTTGAGACTGAACGACCATTGCCAACGACGGTAGATAGTGATTGAAATTAAAAGTGACGTTGTGGCCGACGACGATAACCAATTACTTTATTTATAATGTAGAGAAAAAATAAAGGGAATAAGAAGATTCAGAATGACGTTGTTTTTATGTATATTTTAATTTTTTAAAATGATGTTATTTCGATATTTTTTAACGGTAGATTGAATAAAATAATTTAATATATAAAGTTTAATAAATAAAATAAAAAAATTAAAAATACGATGAGTAAAATAAGAGAAAATAAAATTAAAATAAAATTGAGTGTAATAGTAAATATATTACCAAACTGCAAATATGAAGCAACGATTTTTTTTTTGTTTGTTACAAATCCAACGGTCATTCTCCACACAAAAAAACTCGTCATGTCCAAAATAAACAATGACTGCGTCGTCTAAAGCCACTCCGAATTCAAATTCCGAGCCAGAAACGATTCCTACTATCCCAATCGAGTTATTGAGTGAAGAAGAGATGGTTCTGATTGAAGCAGCTTGTGCTGCAACTCGTTCTACTCTATCTTTCTTCTCCATTTCTTCTTCACCCAGTTCCCGCTTTCAAACCAACAAGAGAATGATCCAGTCGATCACCCTCTTATCTAAACGAGCTTTAAATGGTTCCAGTGAGCTTGATATAGAGGATTCCGACAGTTTGAAGAATACCCAGAAGAGGGTTAGAATCGCCCAGCCCTTCTTGCATCGGTTTAGAAGGAAACGGGCGCTATGGGTTACTGATATTACTGCCACGGTATTGAATTTTGTTTTTGATTTTCTAGGATTTTTAGAATATGTATTTGGTTTGCTTTCGAAATTTAGTTTATAACTGAATAGAAATCTTTCGTAGGAATGGTGTGAAAAACAAATGGAATTTTCCCTCGTCTCTGGCAAACGGAAAACAACAAAAAGCTATGAAAGCTGGAAAGGCTCGCCATGTGGAACTTGAAGAAGAGGTACTCCTTTAAGCTCCAGAGTTTTCAGATTTCCTTTAAATATGACCGCTTTTAGTTTTTACATGTTTGTCTAGCTTATTTGGTATGTCTCAGTTAGGTTCATTTTAGTTTTTGCATTTACTTCATATTCTCAAACTTGGGCTAGATTTTCTCTTCAATTTAATAGTTAATTTTGTTTCCTTATAGTGTGTATTGTATATCAACTGTTGTGTTACCCAAATTCTTCATTTTTGTTAAAGAATTAGTGTCCTACAGTTGTTTTCGACACTTTTTCTATACACACACACACACACACACATATATATATATATATATATATGAGCCTTTAAAAATTAAGAAAAAATTGAACATGTACATATCTGGAACTTGCTCCGACTACGGGTAACATAGGCCAGATGTTCTCCTTATCCTCGATTTGTCCTAGTTAATTGTCCAATTGAATAACAAAACTTGAGTTGAATGGAATTCTGCCAACGCATGGCTCTGCGTTTACTTTCATTCATTTTGGTAATCCTCTCTTGAACTTCATTGTCAACCATTTGTTACCTTTTGGTACACTTAATGTAAGTATTTTGACATTAATAGTCCCTTTGCAGGTTGTTAAAAAATTAAAAGTTCGTGTGGAGTCAGTCAAAGATAGCTGGGCTTTAAAATTCATTAACTTCATAACTTGTGCAAATCAATTACTATTTGAAGGACTGACACGTGAGATACCACTGTAAGTTCAAGTGTTTGTGTTATCTCGGTCAGAGTTCAGATAACTCTTGGCCCTGGGAAAAATTTTACTCTGCATGAAAGAACAACAGGTTGTGCTTGATCTCTAGGTTATTAAACCTTTCACATCAGTTTTTTCTGACCAATTGAGTCTAAGAAGGTGGTTTTAAGAACTTAACAAGATTTTGTTTCTGATTCCTATGTTACTTGAACTCGGGTATGTACGTTCAATTCTTTTTATGTATATGAAAAGGCGTTTGAGGGTCATGTTCATATTCTCATGTTTGGATCTGTGTTTGGAGTAAAAGCAACACAGTTTGTTCTTATTTCAAGATTTTTCAGATACTGGTTAGATGATTTTTTTCTCTTAAGCATGTACCAATGGGCAGTCTAGATCAAAACCTTTGTAAAACTCAGATCAGATATTGGAATAGTAATTTTAATGAAAATTGGCTATTGGTTTTCATTTTAATTTCCCTAGTAATGGACTTTGTTGCTTATATAACATCAGAGTAGGATTTGTGGAAGGCATATGGTTGGTAGGTATTATCGATGAGTTGCGAATGCCTGAAACTGGAAGTGATAGGAACCCAATAATAGTAGACATGAAGACTCGTGTACTAGACTCCCTTCCTTCTGAACAACAAAGGAGAAATGGAAGGTATGTATATTTTACAATGACTAGCCATTAGCAATTTTATCCACTGTTATTAAATCGCTTCTATCAAGTTTCTCAAGAATTCACAAATCTAAGTATCGAACTTATTTTCTGTTGCAGGCTTCAATTAATGTGCTACAAGTATTTGTGGGATACCTTGGTTGCAGATAGCTTCCCTTCCGAACAGTTTTTCGATTTCTTTTCGTTGAACCGTAACTACATATTATCGGAGGATATCAGAGAGAGAGAACTGTTAATTCAGGTTTTCCAGCTAAGGTAACTTAATATATCTTTGTTTTTTCCATTCAATCTGCAATAACCATGGTATTTAGAGGCTGATGTACCATCATGTTGATTCCCAAAATCTACAATGCTTTCTATTCATATCTTTTGGTTCTGGAGTCTTGTACTCTTATTCATCAATGAGGATGGGTTGGTACAAAGGAGGTCGGATCATAGTTTTGGGATAACGAAAAAGATTGTGAATTTGGGGATTCAAATCCCAGACCTACTATGAGCTATCTCTTAAAGGTACCTGCCTGAGCTAACTAAGCTAAAATCTGAGTTCGTGGATGGGTTAATTTGCTGTGCACAAATAAATGTAAATATTTTGTGCATCATGGTGAAGGGTGAAACGGAGAGTTAAGACTGGAGAATAATCAAGGTAACTAATATACCTTCATGTCATCAAATCTGACCAAATGGTTTCTTCTTGCCCTTCAATTGCTGCGCAGACACTTGATGACATGATTCAATACTACATAAATATATGTAGCATGCTTCCCTCCTCTCACGACCGACTAGTATTGAGGTAAGTGAAAAAATTGCCCTGGTAGATGAATATGTTTGTTTTACTAATGCATGAAGGCCTATATTTATGACATGATTACATTTAGGTTATGATAATTCAACTTAATTTGAGCATATCGAAGAGGCTTGAATCAGTTTGGTAATGCATGGCTTGTTATCGTAAATCGTAAGAGACATTATAGTTGCTTTAATGAACTTGGTATGGGGGGAACTTCGTTGCATTTATAATATAGAATATATTATTTTTTTGTTGCAAAGTAGTTCATAACATGAAAATAAGGAAAGAGTTGCTGATGCTGGATCTCAAACCCTGATTTGCTAGATTCTACCTTCTGAGAGTGACTGCATCCGCATGAACCAACTTGGCAAAACCGGTATTCATTAAATCCTAGTTCATAAGGGAACATTTAGTTACATGTGACTTTTTTCACAAACAGCGTTACGTGATTGCTTTGAAGCAGAGATGAACTACAAAAAGATCAGTCAATTCTGGGTGAAGACCAGTTTGCATACGATCCCGAATGGCTCAAAAATCAAATTAAAAACAATCTCGAGCTCTGGTTAGGTGAACGAGAAGCAAGCTACACCCCGGAGGAAGAACGTTGGAAGTGTCGGCATTGTCAGTTTGCCCTCGAAACCCGAATCCTAATAGCCCACGTAGCTCCTCTTCGAACTCTGATCATAACAGCCCTTCAAGCTAGAGATGATATTTTCTGAGAGTTCCTAAATGCGATGATGTTGTCTTAAGCATAAGTTGTATAAATAGCTTCTTTCTGTATTTTCTTGTTTACTTCGTACGCCTAACCATTCATTGGTTGAGAGAATTGCTCTAAAGTTTTCCTCCGATGTAGGTAATTATTGTTGTAATTCGTACAGTTAATTATTTTTATGAATTTTAAATATTTTCATTATAAATAATGACTTTCACATTAGAATGAGTTTAGATATTATTGTATTCTCATTTAGGCTTAAAAACTTGTTTATCCCTTAAAAGTGTATTATTTTTCTTTTATCAATTTATCCCTACAACTTTTTTAAACGTATTTCCTCCTTAACTTTAAAAAGTTATCTCACTTATCTAATTTTTTAACTTCTTACTTTTATGTTACAATTAATATATTTTGGTTAATATAATTAATTTAAAGACGAATTAATTTTAAAATTATTTTCAGCCAAACACAATCTTTACTGATGCCTAAAATTTCAATGGTCACCAATGTAATATGTTTTTTTTTTATCATGTCCAGCCAATTTTAATAGGAATACCAATTAATAATCTATAAAGTGTATATGCCCAAGTTAAAAAAAATTATGAACAAATAATACCTTATAATCACCGTAAATTATAAAAAAGCATAAACATAAGATTGGGATTTAATATAGTTAGATAAGTTTAAAAGTAGACATGTAAAAATATTCATAACCACAATTATCTTATCTATTTTAAACAAAGAAAAAATAAATAAAAAATAATTATAGATACATAAATAAATAAAACATATATTAATATTGTTATAGCATTTCAAGATGGTGTAAATTAAATAATAAATACTAAGATATGTAACATTCATAACTATTTCCTTCCTATGTACAAGAATTTCTAGTCTCCCTCATTCTTTTTGATGGTTCCTCGTTTGTTAGAGTAAAATAATTATTAAAGTAGCTAAGTAGTTTCGGTGCCAATATTCTCACCTGTCAGGTTTCAGCAATGGCATCTTGACAAGACAGCCAAAACGTTCAACCAATTCATCCTCTAAATATTTGCGACTCTAAGTATTTGAGCAGTTGTTAGATATTTTTCAAGTCGAACAAGACTGAGACCAAAGTTGGGACAGCATAAAGTACCTTTCCATCATAAAGGTGATAAAACATTAGCATGACATAGCCAACGTTTGGAGATGACTTGTCAAGATTACCCTAGAATTTAAAGATTTTGAGTATCATCTAGATGATAACAACTGCGAGAATGATGTTTACGTAACGATTAAATTAAAAGAAAGTAAAGTACCGGATGATTGACTCACCGAAGCACACGAAACATGAGAACAGCTGATGCATCAAGAGCAAATGGATTTGAATCGGTCCCTGCAAATTGATGGAGGAATTTATCTAAACTGAAATAATTTGTTTTCTTTTCTTCCTTTTGGAGAAAGTTATGTTACACATGATCATAGTAACAAAAATATTTGTATTAACCATTTAACATCAATATTTGGCGCCCTAAATAGTCAATTTCAGAACTAGAACCAGAGCGTGAGAGTTAAATTGACTTTACCTTTTTAATAACTAATCCAAGTAGTTAAATGAATATAATAATCTTCTAAAATTTCAATTTACTAGTCCTACATAGAGTGGGACTAGTAAAAGGTATGTTCCTTTCCTCGGAAGGAAAAGGTATCGGATATTATTAAATAACCCAAGACCCAACCTTTGCAAAACAACTTGAATGATGAAATGACCGATTCTAACCCATTTGTTTGTCACTAAGGCCAAACAAAAGAAACAGACCAGCAGTGGCGGATCTTGACATTGAATTTTGAGGGGGCCAACTATAAAATTATAAAAAAAGAAAAGTAATTCAACAGACATCAAGATAAATTTTTGAAACTTTTGGGGTAGCCATTATATATATTAAAGGAAATTTATAAAATAAAAATTGAGCGGTCATATTCCAAATTTTGGGGGAGCCTGGCTCCTTATATGCTCCGCCCCTGCGGATTAGTTAATCTGTATACCACCCTAAATTAGAAGATTGATTTGAAATAGCAAGGATAATTTTAAGACAACCATACGCAGACAGAATATATCAGACCAGCAAACAATAGATGATTTAACTTTTACAACAGACAAGGGAGAGTGGGAGGGGGAATTTATTGGCATAAGATATAACCTTCAGAATCAGGTATGATAGGAACAGCTGAAGCTCTGGTGCTATGGCTCATGTTTTCAATCTGGCATATACAAAAAGGACAGTCAAATAAATACTTGTAAAGTCCTAAAAAACTAACTCTTACGTAATTATAGCAAAATCAGAAAATTAAAACATCTCATAAGTTTATTTATTTTTTATAAAAGTTGGAGGTCTCTTTAAAAACTCACTTCGTATTCGTCCACATACTAAGAAGTATGTTAACGAACATTGGAAGGAAAAAAAGTGTACCTCATATTTCATTGAATAAAACACCAAATACATATGAAAATACGGAATACCCTCAAATGGGGATATACACCATTACAAAAAACCATAACTACCTAAACCTCTCGCCTCCTCGACAACAAGAATCCAGAGACAATCACCCTATACCTAAGATAAACCTCCATCAAAAAGAAAAAACAACCCAACACATAATGACATAACATACAGAAAAACAACACCTGCAACCATTATAACGAAAACATCCGCCTCTGAAGGGAACTCCACAAATTACCATCACGATCCAAAATCACCAAAACAGTTCAGCTCGTAAAGTTATCTTCAATGAAACAAAACCACACTTCCTTCCCATCAATCAATGTGTCATTGCAACTTAATTCAGAACTCTTTTCTTTTGCTTGCATTTCTTCACCATGTGATTTTTTCCTAATTTTCCAGGGAAAGGGGGCATTGTTGGGGTATCTTCCTTTAATTGTATTGCGTCACCGGATAAACCATGAGAAGTAATGAGACCTATCATAAGAACATCTTTCGAGGCTCTAGGGCTAACTCCATCAGAATGGTCAAATGATTTATTAACTAGATGCTCCACAATATTTAATTTTGATTGATCTACATCCCCATTAAGTGAAACTCTGAATTTGAACAATTGGAATGAGACATTTCTAACCTAACACTGGCACACCCGCTTTTAGTAAGATCATCCTCACCAAATTTGTTACTCGGATTCTCATCACTTTTGGCACTCTTCATGAGTGAAACCTTTTCTATGTTAGCAACTTCAATTGCAACATCTTCGACGGGACAATTTAAACATGAGGAGAACACCGATGATCCTGACAGATATTTCTCCGACGTTGCCCCGAGAGAACAAATCAAATCTAATGAATCATCGACTTCCTCAGGGATCCAAGACTTTGGTTTGAAGGAAGACTCAACTTCAAGCACCATGATTTTAAAAAATTAGCACCGACCTTCAAACCCAACGACTCATCAATTCTCGCTTTAGTCTTTGTGAGGATTTGAATTTTTGTCCGATCAAAAGATAAGGAAATTGAGAGCTTTTGTCAACTGCTAATAATTTGCCCCACCTAGCTGCAATGTTCTTGAAAGTACCCCAATTCCAAGCGTGAAAAGGGATCCCTTCGCAAACTACCCACACTCGACGGCATTCCACCACTAGACTCTCTGACCAAGCTTCAACTCTAGAAAACCACTCTGCAAGAGTCTCTGATTGTTCATTCTTCACTCTTCTCAACGTAGCAGAGTCCTCAAATATCATTAGAACTACATTCCCAGCAGCTCTCATTAACGAGAAACCAGTGAGTCCTTTGTCTTGCATTTGGCTAGCAAGATTGTCGATTTTGATAAAATTCTTGCACCACCCCATTAGACAGTTACCCAACACTTGAAGTTTAGTTTCTTCAACAATATCGTCTACTGTATAGAGATTATTTCTTGTATCAACTTCCCTGTCAAGCTTTTGGTGAACAACTGGCGAAGACTTTCTCCAAAAAGAATGTCTTGGATTGTATTTAGCCAAAGAAACTCTAATTTTGCTACTTTCAATGCGAGAGTCATTCATGTTTGAGATCGCTTTCCTGGCTTCTCCAATTGTTGCAAAGCGAATAACCCGAATCGAACCCCCTTTGAATTTCTTTTGGTTGGAATGAAGGCATCAATAACCTGACTGTGGGTGCAAAATAAAGATCCAAACCTCTTCCAATGGATCTTCTCTAGTAAGATTTCAATGTATACGGTAAAGCAGCCATATCTATACCCATTACTGATTTTTGGGTAGCCTTCCTTCCACCAGTAATTAAAACCAGTTCTCCCTCTATGGCTCTCAGTCTCCATCGGTTTCTTTAAGGAAGCCTTAAGCCACATCTCATAAGCTTTCACTTTTTCAAAAGCCCAAATCATAAGTTTACTTCCCTGCTGCTTTATTTGGGCAGTGACACAATACTAATAATAACAAAACTCCTTAGTACATCCATAATCAAACAAACAAACTAAAGACAAAGGGAATTGGAGATTTGTGATTGTTATTGACATAGAAGATACCTCAAGTCAAACTAAATCAACTTCTTAACCGATTCAATTGCGAGCGAATATATTCTCCATTAAAAGGCATGAATATCATCTATAATATGTATATTTATGACTAGTATTTCTTGTATCATATACAGGACAATATCAAAATGTAATCACATTGGGGTAGCTAATCTTTCAAGCTGTGTCGATTCATCCATATAAACTTTTTGATGATAAATATAAGAATCAAGATATACCATCATTTGCATATAGGATATAATAAGGCTTTGCTTCGTATGAAGGATCGAGATGAGTGAGGATATAAAATTTGTTAATCTAATGGTAAGCTATAAAATAAGAAAATGACAATGAATATTAAGCATATGATGGACGAGTTCCTTATCAAAAGTTGACAATACAGTGCTAAAGTAGCTGCTGTCAAACCAAACTCATATTTATCTTTTGTTAATTCCATTGAAAACGTGCACAGTAAAAATGTGTCAAACAATGGGGCTTGCCTATTCCCAAACTTTCTCATTTGGTGTATTCTTATCAGCAAGAATTATAGAATAGGGTTTTTTCTTGCGCTCATCAGCAATTTTGGGCCAATATCATCATGTTAATACAAATAGCATAACCTCGATCACGTCAAGTAATTCTTATCAAACCAATAACACATCATCTAACCAATGTACTTCGATTAAACCCCCAAATAAAGCACTCCATTTTTGAAGTGCCAATGTAACTTGTCAAAATCGGAAAAAGCAAGAAAGGTTTGTTTACAACAGATTTTTCTTAAAAGTAAATCATCTAATTTATATCGCAAACAAAAAAAATGCTAAAGAGATACCAACATTTGCCAGCTTACAAGTCAATGTTAAAATTTTGATTCTATGCAATAATTGATAAACACAAGGAATAAATAATGTTCTTGGCATTCATGCTCCAAATGGATAAAGTAGATACAGAAGTTAAATTGGTGGAACACGTTGACCAAACAAAATGTTATGGAATGCTCGTTGCACCATGTTATACAATTTCCTTCTGATAAACATTAATCACACAATTTATTCCACACATACACACATGGAAGTAGCATTCCTAATATTTGTCTAACTGAAGCGAGGGTTGTGAACCATATCAAGATTTTTTGATAAAAATGGGAGGTCTCATTAAAAACCTCCTTCATAACCATCAAGCTACTAAAATAGCTTGACGAACATTGGAAGGAGTAAAAGAGTACCTCAAAAATTTTATTCATGTAAAACCAAGTACATCCAAAGTTCAATACACCCATACATAACTAAAATACAACCTCAAAAACAACCCACTTTAAACTGCCAGCTCATCTAAGACCTCCTTATTTGGAACAAGTTTACCACCTTTTATTACAACTTAAACTTCCTAAACATACCAAAATAGTAAAAAAAAAACTACACATAATTACACAATACCCGACATTGCAAGCTCATCAGCCTTCCAATTACAACATCTCTGAGTGTGCCTTAGGATAACATTTTTATTTGCCACCACTGTACAAATTTCCTTTACCAAAGATTCGAACAAGGCTAGGCAAGAACTAGGATTTTTAATCCACTCTAATGCCTTCAAACAATATGTTTCCAGAATCAATCTTCCTTTAGATCCCCAATCCCTCCCAAAGAAAAATCTTAATCCTGCTTTAACTGTCATCAATTCAGCCAATATAAGAGGACCAAGTCCCACATTTTCTAAGAAAGAACCTAACATCTTACCATTCGAGTCATGAATAAGACCGCCAATACCCCCTCTAAACCACTCCTTCTCCACTGGCCCGTCAATATTAATCTTAAAAAAACCTGAGGGAAGGGTGGATTAAGCAGGTGAGAGGGTATGACCTTCTTAATCTTCCATTGAATATCCGCCAAGGATGAATTGCTCACTAAGCTATCAAATTGCTTCTTCGCATCAAGAAATTTCACCACAAACCAAGAAACCAATCTAAAACTGCTTAGAAATACCAGTTACACTGAATCGAAAGAACCTTCTTTGAAAACTAATCCATTCCTACATTTCCATACTGGCCACATGATCGCGCCTGGTATTAACGACCAAATGGGAGAGAAACAAACTAACTCCATCCAAGCCACAATAAGGTCCTCCGAATTACATGGCATCACCGCTGTAACATTCCAAAGCCGCAAAAAGGACCACCAAATATCCCACACAAACTTGCAAGTTACCAACAAATACGAAATGGTTTTTACTTCAAGTCGATAGATAGGACACAATACATATTCCACACCTTCAACGCCTCTCTTAACAAGCTCTGATTTGACAGCTAATTTCTTATGAATTACTTGCCATACAAAGGTTTCCACTCTCGGGGGTGCCAACCTTATTCAAACCTTCTTCGTCCTACTAAAATTAATAGTCTGTCTATCATACAATAGCCTCACACAAGACTTTACTGAATAAATACCCTCTCATTCCCCTGCTATAAACATCTATCATTATTCTTCTCATAGCAATGAATATTATGTAACAATGATGCTAGCTCTGTCTATTCTCAACCTCCCAATCAACAAGATTTCTTCGTAAAAGAATGTTCCAGCACCATCCCGATTAATCTCGACATCTAAAGTCGGCAATCGTTCCCACCTTATTAACTGCTAACGCGAACATTCTCGGAAATTGCACCTTCAGAGGGAAACCACCCAACCAGTTGTTTAACCAGAACCTTACAGATTCACTATTCCCAACATGAAGTTTTAAATTATTTTGAAAACACTGCCTAAACTCATCCTCCTTCTCGCAATTGTTCAGAATTCCTTTCCAAATTGTTGAGTTAATCG